AGACTTCGGACGCAACATAGTTCAGACATACACTGACCGCAATGGAGTCTTAAACATCTTCTCTGCTCCCTCTCAGTGAAAGGCGTACTTGAAGTCAAACCACCACCCATTGCAAACGGCGAGCTGGAGTTACCGCGAGAATTGCAGCTTTATTCTGGATAAGGTTGCAGGCTGAACTCCTACTTATCTAAAATCGGTCCCAACATACCCAATACAATATATATACAGAATGCATCGAGTCCTCGCATGGCTCTAACGACCTATTCTCATGGCCAGCTCTCCCTACGGTCTGACTCTGTCTAAACAGCACGTTACAACAACAACAGGATTGAGGAGGATTACCGTTTGAACATTGTTAGAAACGCATATACTCTGTTACCAGGAAGTGTGGTGATCTGTTAAAAAACCCGAAGTTATTGGATCAAGGTAGGTTGTTAAGGTTTAAAACCATTTTAAAATAAAACATGTCATACTATGTAGTATCATCCTATTTTTATATGGATCAAGGTTTTCCAATTTATTTAGCATAAATTTTAATACATCATTGGTGAATATATTGTGTACAAATTTTGACACAAAAAAATATTTTTCTTAATAATAATTTAAAGTTTCGTTTCGTACATGTGATCACTTCTTTTTTTTTTTTTGTGCACAACTGTATATACATGTATGTAAATGAGAAATATTTATTTTTTGTAGATAAACTTTATAAATACATTATAATAAAAGTTTTTAAATATAATAAAAAATAATAATATATACACATTAATTTTCACAACAGTCATTAAAATATTAAAAAGTTCAGTAAGCTATATAATTTTTATATAATACCCATATTTTCAATTAATAAACGATTCAGGATTTTGCGGATAAATGTTTTTAACAATGTGAATATCCGAGATCAATATATAACTCTTACTATATATATATTTTACTTTATACAGACAACTTAAGATTGTACCGTTTATCTTGGAAATAAAGCATTAATACTTTATCGCAAAAGTTGTACGTTTGCATTTGCGTGGATGTAGAAACGTATATACAATTGTATGCGACTGGTGGAATTTGAAACATCACTTGGAATATATGTATGTATATTTTTTTCTAATGATTGATTGACGATTTCCAGACTAAGGGAAGTCTTTTTGTAAGGATTTCTGTACGTGGTAAATGTATGGTATTTTCTGCCGAATTATAATAGTTAATATTTTGACTTATTACTCACATAGCGAAAAAAACTCGTCGATTACATAATAACCATCCAAATATTTTAGATTGTATAACTCATTTAGTATTATGCATTTATATTTATTTATCAATATAACATATGTTTACCATTAGCTTAATATAACTACCGACATTTAGTATGAGTTTTAATATGCTTTTTTAAATGATCACTACGCATGAACCGTCGCTCACATTCTATGCATATAAAAGGTTTCTCTCCAGTGTGCGTGCGAAGGTGACGATTGAGATCATCCTGTCGTTTAAATGACTTTTTACAAAGGTTACACCGACATGGACGGTGGGGATCAATTAAATCTTCCGAAGTATCTTTTCCCAATTGGGACCACCCCATAAATGCACCCTGCCCAGATAGCATTGTTGAATGTTGTTCCATCGTATCAGAATTTTGCCTTTTGATTGCATGTGTTACGAATTCAGAAGACATTTGATCTTCCGAGACCAAAACTGAGGAATTTGGTTTTCTTTCTTCAGCTGTTTCGGGTGGCACTATATGGTACTCCTCGCAATTTTCCGGTCGTTCTAGTTTTATTTTTATAGGTTTGTGATCCAATAAGCTATCAGACGTTAGTTTTTCAGACACTTGTTTAACTTTCGCTTCAGACGTTACATCTTTAGACTGACCGCAGTTTTCAATTAGAGCTGCCATAAAATGCATCCCGTTGCTATATTCTTCTGTTTCGTTAGGAAAATCTGAATCATCAAAGCTATTTTTCGAATCAGATGATTCATTCAAATAACATCCCTTTTTGGAACGATTTCCCTCTTCTTGTACTCGTACTTTTTTAGAACAATTTTGCATCTGTTTAGCATGAGTAGCAAGGTGTTTTGTGAGATGGTCACTACGAGAGAATTTCTTTGTGCACTGGAAAAACGCAAATCAAATATAAAATGATAAAGTTGAAATTATAAATTTCCAACCTGTATACATTCAAACGGTTTTTCTCCCGTATGCGTTCTCACGTGACGATTAAGCTCATCGGATCTAGTAAATCCTTTACCACAGTTTTGTTGTGAACAAACAAAAGGTTTGATGCCAGTATGCCAGGTTAAATGTGAACGTAAGTGAGAACTCTTTCCATAACTTTTCGTGCAATTCTCATACGGACAAGCAAACCTTCGTTTGGGATCTACAGGATTCGGTATGGGCATCAGCTTAATTGTTGGTGTAAGACGAATTTTAGGACTATCTGTATGTTCATTCGGATTTGTATTGCTAACGTTTTGAATCTTTAAAATACTTGCTGGGCGATCATCGATATCTTCGGGAGGTTCATGCTTTATTTCGGATCTTAATCCTGCAATCAATAAAATAGGAGTTTATTTGCGGTAAAATTATAATTATATCTACATTACCATCACTCCCACCTATAGCAGTTGGTAACAACAGCGATGTTGCAGCTGACGTCATCTCTTCCGGTGTGGGCGTGTCATTTATTTTGGCAGACATTTTGTAGCGTACTTTAAACCAAGTTTTTGTTCAAATATTGACTATTAGCATATTAGTGTATTTATTAATAGTATTTTTAATAAGTAACTTGGGACTATGAAGAAAAGAATGTTTGATTTGTTTTTAAGGTTTTGTCGCAGCAAGTTTTCAGTAGGCGTTCCCGTTTGCTTTAGAAGTCCAATCCCACCCCGCTTATCTTTCCAATTTGAAGTACACTATTGTAATTTCATGTCCACTAATAACAATCCTTAAAAACATAGTATTTTTGCAGCCGATTAAAACTAAACAATAACTATATGTTACAATCAATGAATTAATTATGTTAACCGCTTCAAAACTGATTTTTTTTAATATATGTCCACATACCGGGTAAACCACTTGCATTTGCTATGCACAATAAATTACAATGTCTCCCTCTGGTATTACCAACATAAATTTATTCTAACTAATATCGTATTCACACATTGTTTTTATTAATATCTCTATGCGATAATATTCGTTTGAATATTTGTCTTTACAAAGAAAGATAATAAATAAGATATTTCAAATAAAAATAAGGGAAAACTTTAGTATACCATGTTAAGATATTGGAAATAGAATGGGTATGGTCGGATAGAGGAGGTTCTCCAGATATATATAGTTATAGCCACGGAAAACTTAGTTTTGGAGGTATTGCGTTTAAAGATTAAAATTACCACTATTTGAAGTATGTATTTTTTCGATTTCAAATTAATTTTACACTTATATATTGCAATTTTATATAAACTACAACGTCACTAATTCGTTCGTACACATTTATTTTTACATTATATAGTGTAAAAGAAGTTTTATATCATTATTTAACTTATTTTTTTTGTTCCCAAACACTTCCTTTAATCGTTCGTACACATTTATTTTACATTATATAGTGCGAAAATAGTTTTATATCAATAGTAAACTTATTGTTCGTCTTTTACTTATTACTGCTAAATTGAAGAGAACATGGTCCAGTGTCAACGGGAACACTAAGCTAAAGATCATCAATGGTTTTCTTAATGTTTAATTTTTTATTCCCTGATCAAACAACGACTTTGAATATTTGTAAATTTTCAACCGGGGAACTCATCTCACTACGATGGAATCCACCCCGTGAAAATAGATGTTGTCTAAATATTTTATTGCTGTCAATATTGCCAATTGAGTCGGCATATTGCTTTTGTTTGCCAAAAGTTGTGTAAATAATTTGTAAGTTTCAAGCGAGCAAATGCTCGATGCTACTTGACAAAAAATTTTGTCAATAGTCGGCAATAGTTATTGCCCTGTTATCCAAATATCGGTTAAGTCACAGTTTAACTACTAAACAGTGGCATTAGATATCTCTGTCCAAGTTTATTTTTTTCAATTGACAATACTCACCGAATTTCCTGTGTATGTATTATCTGACAGTGGGTGAAATACACGGTTACACCTATTGAAAAATAGCAGGAGAAGACCATAAAAACGAATCGAACATCCATAGTTTTATAGTACAATAGTACCTATGAAAATACTTATACTTATACAGATATATACACTAATATACTAATAGTTAATATTTGAAGAAAAAATAGGTTGAAAGTTTCCGAAAAATTGCCACAATAATTCTTTATACACTAAAGAAGTGAATATACATGACATTAAAGGAGTATCTGTCTGTAATTTTCCAAAAATTTGGGTAATATTGTGTTGCGTTATATTTGCTCAAAAATGTAAGTGGCGTGAAATGCAACCCTAGTGTATTAGTCAGCCATCGCACAAACATAAAATTTAACGAAATCCGCCCGTAAAGGTGTTCGTTTCTACGTGTTTTCTGCCGTATTGGAAAAAAGGTTTTTGTTTAAGTGATAAATTGTGTACAAAAAATTCCAAACATATAAATACTTATATTTATTATTTGTGGAGTGTTGAGTGATAGTGTTTTAAGTAGGTATTGGGAAAATTTAGATGGTGATGCAAGTGAGCTATGAACAAGTAATAGTGATGACAAAGAGAAACTTGATTGGAATGCGTAGATGAGTAAAAGTAATTGAACCAAGTAGTCAGTTACAATCTTGTAATAATTAGTAGCGTCAAACTTTAAATATTGAAATATGTTCAGTTTTTGTGTACATTAGCAATTTGATAAAATATAGCATTTACATTAATGTTTGAGATAAGGTGTTGAGTTTTGAGAATGTGTGTTGGCATTTGTTCATAGTATTGCGCGAATAATTAAATAAAAAGGGTGACTAAGATGCAACACTGCTGTGCTGGTAGATATTCGATTGGAAGAAAGAAGCCGGTCGTAGTCGTTTGAGAGTAGAGTAATTGAGAAGTCGTTTAACGAAAGTGGAATAAAGTGGGGAAGTATGTGTTGAATTAAGGAGTGGAGTTAAATATTTTAAAAATCTCCAAAGAAAGGATTAAAGTGTCGTGGAATTTAAATCTATCGGAATTCTCTTTTTTTATCAATATTTTAAGAAACTCAACACAAACAGTTAATGTACGATTATTAAAGCGGTTAAAAACGTGCGGTACTTAATTTAAAAAAAAAGCGAATGTAAATGTAATAAAGAATACGAATAAATTGTGAAGTGCAAACCTTGTGTGCAACCAACGGTATTACACAAACATCAATATATATGTACTACATTTGCTTCAAATGCCAAGATTACAGTTGTGATTAAATATTTTTGCATTAAGTACGTCTTTTAGTTATTCAAAAATAAAGAAATGCCCGCTGTCTGACCAAACTCTACATATAATAATAGCAAGCAATTTTCACTTTCAGATACGCTGAATTACTAACAAAAATTTCATATTTTTTATATAAAAAGGTGAATGAAGATTTTTTTAAAATTATGTGATGTGCTTTATTTAATTTGTTTATATAATTCTTTCGCTTAAATAAACAATCCKCGGAACGGCTGGCTTGTACTATATATATATACAGCTGCGAGTAGTGAAATAGTAGTGGGTGTTAGAGTTTTACATACCTGTGAGTTATGCAAAATTCTAAACAATTTTAACATCAATTGAAACGATAAAGGGGATAGCTTCCCCGGATTTCGGTAATAAAGTGGGTGTCACTGGAAAGGTGACGTTCTCCAGATCACGAAAAAATATATATATAGTTGCCGTTGACTTATAGTGTTAAAGATATTTGCGTTTAAAATTAAAAAATTTACAACTTTTAAATTGATAAATTGTTTATTGTGAATAACTTTTTCACTTGTATTATGCACTTTTCACTTACTAACACTTCACTATAACGTTTTTGTATATCAATTTTTTTAATATTTATTGCAAATAAAGCTTTATTTCAATTTTGTTTTAGTTAAATTCACTGCATTTGCACAACAAGAATAGGGTTGCATACTAGCAAATAAATGGTATTGCTATATCTGTCTACTTTTATTTGCAATAAATATTAAGCACATTAATATACAAAAACGTTGAGTGAAGTGTTAGTAAGTCAAATGTGGGCACAATTCCGATATCTTTGGCGCCACGATCTGAAGGTACCGTTGGAAAGAGGAAGTCCTCCTGAATAAAAAATGTATAGGGTTGTAGGTACCGCAAACGCTTAGTTTAGGAGATATTCGACCTTATATTTCAAAAATTCACATTACACATTAAACACACTTTATTCACATTTTTCACTTCAAATTAATTAAATTACACTATAACTTGTAGATAACTCCATATCTTACACTTTAAGCGGGTTTTTTACCTAAAAAATCTGCATTTTAAAAATTACATTTTACACTCGGTTTTAACCCCATTTGTTTACCAAACATTACGACGAAATGGAGCGCTGCCATGTGATGATAAGGCAATTCGCTGAAACTCCTTTTCGCAAAACTTTATCTATTCATGCATATGGATATTTTCTTATTTAAATTTATTAAGCAAATAGGTAATATTATATACATGTATTACTAATATTATATAATAATATTGTATATATGTACATATGTATAAGTAATATTATATAATAATATTACGTAATAAAGTGTAAAGTATATTAGTACAGTACGAAAATTCAAATTTCATTTCAATATGAGTGCATGGTAACCAACAAATATAACCACTTTATAACAAAAACTCAATATATTTTTTTATTTTTAACGCAGAAAGGAGTATTTCGTGAAAGTACTTCAGTCCACCCGGGTATTCGCTTGGCCAGGGTTATTTTTTTAAAGCGCGGCCGAAGGCCGCCAACGCAGAAAGGAGTACCCCGCGAAAGTACTACAGTCCACCCGGGTATTCGCTCGGCCAGCGTTATTTTTTTAGACCGCGGCCAAGGGCCGCCAATGCACAAAGGTGTACTGCGCGAAAGGGTTATTTTTTTAAAGTACTTCAGTCATCCCGACATGATATTATATACATTTTATAATACTATATTATCATAGAGTTCTAATTATATGTGTTTATTAAATATAAATTACATATTATACATATACATACTATATGTAAAATGTATAATATGTGGAAAAAGTTTTCACAACTCAATTAAAACTTAAAAAATGTTAGAAAGTATTTTTTTATTATAATTAATGTAGAAAAAAGAATCACGCAAAAAAACAAACGAAGAAAAATCGTTAAGAATCCTACATATTTGGTGTTTAAGTTGTGGCAACGCTCGTTTTCCTCATAATTGTAAACAATCTAACCTTTGCAACGCCGAGTTCGCTAAGTGATTTTTAAATTAATAAATTTAGGGGAAATATTACAAAATAAAATTGAAATGTGAACTTATTTCAATGTTTAGAGTGTATATTTAAATATACAGAGTGGAAAACGTGAATAAATTTAATGGAAGAGAAATATGTACCTTGTGTTATTAGTGCATATTTTTGAACTTTTAATCGTGAAAATTTTAAAAAATATAAGTAATTTTTATATTATTTTTGGATATTCCTACTCTGGAGAAGCTCCCCTATCCGGACATACCCAATTTATACGGAAATTAGGTTTTTTTTTTTACCCCTCCGCCAAAGTAAATCGTGCCGAAATGTGCATAATATAAGTGGAAAAGTTATTCACAATATACAAATTATCAATTTAAAAGTTGTCAATTTTTTAACTTTAACTGTACATGTTTTCGTGATCTGGAGAACGTCACCTTTCCAGTGACACACATTTTATCCCCGAAATCCGGGGATGCTATTCTAAATTTTACTTCATAAAGCTGCAGGAGACTTATATAATTCGAGTTTAAAGTGCAAAAATTTACAATATAAGATAGAATGTCTAGAATGTCTTATAACTATTTGCTTTTTCCATTTTTAGTTTTATCTTTTCCATTTGATTAAATTTAGTATGGTACTACTATTTGTTTGCATGTAATTGTTATGTTACGTAAAATTATAAAACTTTAATTACGATACAAAAATATTTGCCCACTATTTATAAATAAATAAATGTCTAAAACTATTTAGTGATGTGTTTTTGTATATAATGTTGAATAATAGAAGTGGAATTCATATTAAATTGAGAAATTATATTTTTTATTTCGTGAGTTTTGGACTCGAAAATCTCGAAAACCATAAGTCTCCTCTGGCTACATATATAAGTAATAATAATATAGAGAACATCCTCTATCCGCGCATAACAATTTTATGTGAGAATTTGGGGGATGCTATATTAAAGTTTTGTGCGTGTTATAAAAAACTGGTTTGTTTCAGGTTAATCTGTTTATAACTATTTAATCGATATTGTCTAAAAGTGCCGAAATAACATTTCATAAAAGTATAATTAAAATGGCCGAAGAAGTCGATCGTAACGATCCCGAACTGAAATATCTTTCCGTCGAACGGAACCAATTTAATGATCCAGCAACTCAAGCTGAGTGGACACAGAAACGACTTGTTTGGGTCCCACATGAAAACCAGGTATGTATGATTGACATATAAACTTAATGCAAAAAAAAAAATGCCAACATTTTTATACCGCTACCAAAACAGTTCGAAAAAATACACAAAAAGTATTCTGATTAAATTCTTTAAATCTTCAACTTAGTCTACTTTAATTTATTAGGTCTTTTCATTTGTTGAACAACGTTAATTTATAACAAGTAAGGAAGGGCTAAGCTCGGGTGTCACCGAACATTTTATACTCTCGCATGATAAAGTGATAATCGAGATTTCAGGAGTGGCTGTGAACCGATTTCACCCATATTTGGTACATGTCATCAGGGTGTTAAGGAAATATTATATACCGAATTTCATTGAAATCGGTCGAGTACTTCCTGAGATATGGTTTTTGGTCCATAAGTGGGCGACGCCACGCCTATTTTAAATTTAAAAAAAAGCCTGAATGCAGCTTCCTTCTGACATTTATGCCGTAAAATTTAGTGTTTCTGACGTTTTTTGTTAGTCGGTTAACGAACTTTTAGTGATTTTCAACATAACCTTTGCATGGGAGGTGGGCGTGGTTATTATCCGATTTCTTCCACTTTTGAACTGTATATGGAAATGCCTGAAAGAAACGACTCTATACAGTTTGGTTGACATAGCTATAGCAGTTTTCGAGATATGTACAAAAAAGTTAGTAGGGGGCAGCGCCATGCCCAGTTTTCCAAAAAAAATAAGTTCAAATATGCCCCTCCCTAATGCGATCCTTTGTGCCAAATTTCATTTTAATATCTTTATTTATGGCTTAGTTATGACACTTTATTGGTTTTCGGTTC